CAGTCGCTGGAGAAGGATATCATGTTTGGTAAGGTGGAGGGTCAGAGAAAAAGAGGAAGACCCCAACGAGATGGATTGGCCAAGTGGCAGCATCAGTGGACTCAAGTGTGGCAACAATTGTGAGGTTGGCCCAGGATCAGGCAGTGTTTCTTTCTGCTGTGCATAAGGTCCCTATGAGCGGTACTGACTGCATGGCACCTGACAACAACAACAAAATTAGCTGAGTTAATATGTGTCTTGGATTTTCTGAAGTCCTCTTGTGTTTTAAATTGGCATAGTAAAGCAATTTGAATAAGATTAATGTTAAGCAATTGAGGAAATCAGAGTAATTACAATAACAGTACCTGGTATATCATAGGCATTCAAATGTGAATGAATGGCTACCCAATCTCATATTGTTGTTGCTTTTAAGTGCCATTGAATAGATTCCACCCTGTATAGGGTTTCCAAAGAGCAGCTGGTGAGTTTGAACTGTCGATCTTGCAGTTCCAACCGAACTTGCAGTCCAGTGCTTATCCTCCGGTGCCACTCCAAATTAACAGGAGGAAATTGGTAGCTGTGGAAGAGGGTATGTTTTAAAAAGTAGAGGTGTAACGTGGTTAGATTTTTGTTTTAAGAGCGCTGATCATCATGAATAACTTGATGTAGGAAATGAGTGGGAGGTCTGTTAGGGGTTCTTTAGGACAGGGGTGAGGAGTCTTTTTTCTGCCAAAATTTATAACATCATTCATGGGCCATATAAAATTGTTGTTGTTGTTGACAGGTGCCGTCGAGTCAGAACTGACTCATAGCGACCCCATGCACAGCAGTACGAAACAATGTCCGATCCTGGGCCAACCTCACTACCGCTGCCACACTTGATGCCATCAATGATGCCACCTGGCCAATCCATCTCGTTGGGGGTCTTCTTCTTTTTCTCTGACCCTCCACCTTACCCAGCATGACATCCTTTTCCAGCAACTTAAAAATTAGCCGTCTATATTTGATCAAGGAATCTTGGTGTGGGGCCATAGCACTCTACCTCAAGGTCAGTTTGAACTGCAAGATTCAAACGGCAGTTCAAACTCATCACTGCTCCTTGGAAACCCTATACAGGGTTGCTATGAGTCAGAACTGACTCTACAGCAACTAACCACAACATATGGCTCACAGACCAAGATGTGTGTGTGTGTGTGTGTGTGTGTGTGCCCCCGTTTTATGACACGGACTAATGTAGTGGGTGGGATGGAAGGAGAGTAAGAAACTTAGAAAGTAGCATTTGGCATCTGGTCAAATGTGAGAAATAAAAATGAGTTGAACGTGACTCCCAGTTTTTTTGGTTGGACATAGGATGAATGACTATACTCTTAATCAAGATAAGAAAAGTATTTGGAGCAAGGACAGATTTGGGAAAAGGTAGGTTCAACTTTGGACTTTTTAAAAGGCACTTGAGGAAGTTTAGGATCGATTATATCTAGATAAGAAGTCTAGGAGCCCTTTCTAGGCTGGCAATATAAATTTCGAAGTTAAGTCTCTTAATTGTAAATTCCACAAGAGCCAGGACCTTGTTTGTGTTGTTCCCTGCTGTTTCCCAGCACTTGGCACAATATCTGTAACATATGTGTTTGAGGACTGAGTGAGTTTGTGAATGGACAAGGAAAATATGCAGAGGGGAGAAAAAGAGGTTTAGGAACACTAATATTAAAAGAGTTGTTTCAAGGAGAGAAGTCACCTAGTGAGATTAAGATCTTTGATGGTTAGGAAGACAACCAAAAAATAATGGTATAATATGTTTCCCTTTATAGTAACCATAGTTTGTGACTTACATTTTAATTGTGTATACTTGTCTGTCTCTCCCAATGTAAGTTTTGTGAGGCAAGAACCATGCTCTTTTGTTTCATTATTATAGAAACAAAAATAATGTGTCTGCTAGTAAATGTGTTGCCATTGAGTCGATTGTGACTCATCTGTGACATTGTAGGACAGAGTAGAACTGCGCCACAGGGTTTTCAAGTTTGAAGTCTTTATAGAAGTGGACTGTGTCACATCTTTCTCTTGCTTAGTGACTAACTAGCTGGTAGATTTGAACCTCCAACATCTCAGTTAACAGCCAAGCACTTAACCACTGCACCACTAGAGTTCGTTCTGGTAGATAGTAAACCCTCAATATGGAGGAATGAATCAATGTGAGTCATAGAAGAAAACAGCTTCTAAAAAGAATATGTGGTGAATATTGTTTATATTGTAAGGAGCTCTGTGAGCGTAGTGGTTACGAATTGGGCTGCTAACCTCAAGGTCGGCAGTTCAAAACTACTAGCGG